GTCTGACCTTCTGAGAAGCCAGGAAAAGAGATAACAGCCAATATCCAGAACAGGCCAGTTTAAATCTTCAGTAGGAGGCCTGGCCGGTTAGCTCAGTTGGTTAGAGTGCAGCCTTTATAACACCAAGATCATACCCCCATACCGACCAGCTGTGAAAAAAATAAAAAGAAATTTTCAATAAGTCTGATAATGAAGTTCCCTCTGCTTTAATCCTTATACAAGTGGGCTGGCTGGTTAGCTCAGTTGGTTAGAAGGAGGTGTAACAACAAGGCCAAGGCTCCCATACTGGCCAGCCACCAAAAAGTAAAATAAGTAAGACATATTCATTAAAAAAAAAAAAAAAAAAAAAAAAGTCCCTACATGAAAGAGCCTGATGTTGACTAATCAGTTACTTTTCCACTGTTCTGTCTTCCTGTCCACAGCTTACAAGGAAAGTAACTTTGGAATAACCATACTCTTTTTGTTCTAGGTTTCTGCTTTCTTCAGCCTTTTCAGTCTATAAAGTCTTTGTTATTTGTAATAAACTTGGGATTATTTCTTTGACTGTCAGATGGTGTTTCCTGGGTTGATCCTCACATTTTGCTCCCAATAAACTTTACAAAATTATTTCTGTCTTGACAACCTTAATTTCGGTAGACAATGATGGGTTGGATGTTGGGTGTGAGACAGAGTATTCAAGCATAATCCCAAGGTTTTTGGCTTGAGCAACTGGAAAGATAGAAAGACCACAGGAGTAGGTCGTGGGGGTAAGTTGAGGCATTTGATTTTGAACATAGCAAGTTTAGTTGCCCATTTGATGTCCAAGCAGGGGTGTTAGTAGGTTGTTGGACATACAGTCTGAAGTTCAGAATAGAGGTCTGGCCTGGAGATGCACCCTTGGGAGCTCTACTATATAGATGGAATTTAAATCTATGAGATTGGTTTGGATCCCCATACAGACCAGCTGCCAAAAATAAGAAATAAAATAAAACTATGAGATTGGATGAGATCACCAAGGGAATGGGCTGTACATGATGAAAAGAAGTCTGAGGACTGAGCGACCACTCCTCAATGGATCTGCCAGAAGGATTTTGCTATAAGAAAGAACAATAAAGAAACAGTGATAGTTGGTGGGTGGTGGTCAATGAAATCAAGAAAATCTTTTTTTCTTTTTCTTTTTTATAAAGCAAGAGAAATAAAGCCTATGTGTATACTGTTGGGAATGACCCCATACAAAGAAACAACAAGATGATGAGTTGGAACCTAGTGCACAAGCTGCAGGTTAACCATAGCCGGAAGCATGATCAGTTGGTCCCTAGTAATGGGGGGCAGGCAAGCGGGTAGGTGGGTGGTGGGTGCACAGGAGCATTTAGAGTGTCTTCTGATGGCTTCTATTTTCTTGATGGACTGGGAAGCAAGGCAATGAGCCAAGGGTGAGAATGGCAGAGGAAGCACTGGGGATCTAAGAGAGAGGTGAGGATTTGAATCAAGGAGTGCTGGAGAGTGATGGACTAGAGAAACGGAATGCTGGGTGGCATGAAGGGCCCACTTGAGGTTCACACTCATGAATTCGAAATGAGACTGGTTGCCATGGTCAGGTGTTTTCTCCAGCCACATTCGGCTGTTTGGGACAGGCTGAATGAGTTTATCAGGGCTCTGGTTTTGCCAGACAGGTGTAATAAAGTGACAGAGGGGCGAGGGAGTTGAGGGTGTATGCAAGGAGTGCTTATAATTGACCTTTAAAATTTAAGCTAGATAAGAAGGGAAGTGAGCTTGTGGGGGAGGATGGGTGGGGGGAGTAGAGGAACAGTGGAAAGAGAATCAGTGGATTGGGGGTCCAGTGAAGTGGAGGATTGTTGGAGCTGGGCATAACAATGACTTTCTCCTTGACCAAACTTTAGTCAGGCTCCTCTGAGTCCTCTTCTTTAGTAGGCCCCAGTACTGGCCTCTAGCTTGCAGGGCCTACCTAGCCCAGTTTAGAGAGAATCCCCACCATTGATAGTTGGTTACTTTGGGCTGCTCTTTCTCCTTGACCAAACTTTAGTCAGGCTCCTCTGAGTCCTCTTCTTTAGTAGGCCCCAGTGCTGGCCTCTAGCTTGCAGGGCCTACCTAGCCCAGTTTAGAGAGAATCCCCACCATTGATAGTTGGTCACTTTGGGCTGCCTTCAGCAAGAATCCTTTTAAGTTGATTTAACAAGAATTCCCCTACTCTTGCTGTGTCCCCTTAGTAATTTTCCATCCACTGACTTCCACATTTTGCTAGTTGGCTATAAACCCCCAAGTGTCTTTGCTGTAATTAGAGTTGAGTCAGATCTCTCTTTCCTAGTGCAACAATCTTGACTCCAATCAAAACTGTCCCGAATAAAGTCTTCCTTACTGTTTTAACTAGTGTCAGATTAATGTTTCCTTTCTTTTTTTGGTGGCTGGCTGGTGCGGGGATCTGAACCCATGACTTTGTGTTACCAATACCATGCTCTAACCAAGTAAGCCAACCGGCCAGTCAGATTTTTTGTTTAACAGGCATACTAGAAGAAGTGAACCGAAGAGGAGGGCTGTAGTTATTGGTAAAGGCAAGATCCAGGGCACAACCACTGGAGACATTGGGTAGGGTTGAGGGTGAGATCTATTGGAGCAGCAGAGTTAAACGACTGACAGGCCAGGGTGTTGGCAGTCTCATCAGTGTGGATATTGAAATCACAAAAAATTGTGACAGGAGTGTGAGCAGCAGAGATGACCACTGAAAATGCCAAAGTTTAAGTGTTCAGGAGATCTCTCCTGGCAAAGCCACATTTGGGCTGGTTTGGTCCCTTCCTCTCCTAGGGAAATGTCATGGCCAGAGAACAGTGACAGGAAAAGCCGAGTTCATTTCCTGAGGCTGAAATGACAGTGTGACCATCAAAAACTGTATAAAAGTTACGAGTACTGCTGTACCAGCCGGGGGGAAAAAAGTTAGGAATGCATTACTGAATGCTCTCCTAGCTTTAATTTCCTAATCTGAGAAATTGAAATAATAGGAGGACCTACCTCACACAGTAGTTATGCAGCTTCATAGTACCGTATGCAAAGAATAATTTATTGAACATTTCGGCATTGTTCTAAAATGCCTATTAGCTTACTGAACTCTCACAGCAGCCTTAGGAGGGAGGTTCTAGTTAATCTCTATTTTACAGATGAGGAAACCTTGACAGGCAGTTCTGCTGTAGATGGGACCTGTAAAGAATGAGGAGGGATGGCCAGCTGCTGCCCCCCACCCCCAATTTATTTTTTCCTCCAATTTTAACCTCTTAGATGATCTTGGATTGCCGTGTGAGAGACTGCTGGTGACAAGGAGAGGGGGGAAAAAAGCCTTCCTTTCTTGAGTTTTCCTATTCAAATGATTTTTAGCTTTGCTTCCCATTCAGCCATTTCAAAGGGGGCCACAAAAAGGAAGGTCTGATCATGGCAAAAAACTAAGATGGTGCCTACCTTGCCTATTTTGTTCATAGAAGCCTTAGCCATGATAATATAATCTAACCTTCTCCTTGCACAGATAGGGAAATAGACCCTTTGGAAGTTACAGGCCAGGCTTGGGCGGCATGATGGTTTCAGTGCTTAAAGACAACGCTGAAAGAATTAAAAAAAGGCATGAGGAAGCTTCTCAGGAGGTGTTACATATAGACCTGTTATACAGAATCTGGATTCTTTTCTGGCTTAGCATTCGGTTGTGAGCTTGTGTGTCTGGAGAATAGTTCCAGCGATGATGTTGGAATGAGCAGGACTGAAGCCATATTGGGACCTAAAACCACATGGGCGCTAAAAGATTTTTAGAAGACAGTATTTTTTTTCTTTTTTTCTTGGCATACACTCCTCTGACTTCCTTCTTTCTTCTCCTATGATTATTTGATATCTCGGACCTCGGTTACGGGGCAAGATGACATGATTTAGATGACTATAAAGTAGTTTACCAGCCAGCCTGGAGTTGGAGACCTGCGCGCAACTCTCAAGCTGGGTTCCAGGTTCTATGAGCTCTGTTGAAGGAGAGAACACCGTGCCGGGCGGCAGATGATGCCAAGCCCGGATCGGCGGCCAATGGCTCCCTCCGGTGGCGGAGGCGAAGAGCGCAGCCAGCGGGCTGATCGGGCGCGAGAGGAGGGAGGGTCCGCACGGAGGTGAGGAGCGAGGTCGGGACCCAGCGGACGTTCCCGGGCTTTGAGGGGCTGAAGGGCTAAGACCCCGAAAGGGGCCCACCGACGTGGCCCGGAGTTCCTGGCGACAAACCTGGGCCAGGTATCACGGCCACGCCCACCTCCAGGTCGCCTTCCGCCGTCCTCACACGCCCCTTTCAGGCGGCGGCTCTCCCCGGCGCCTCCGAGTTCCGAGTGGGGTCCGGCCTGCGCTGCTCGCACCCGGGTGACGCAGGACCCGTGGCCCGCAGCCCGCCGGAAGCGCACGGCTGCGGAGCTGCAGGGCAAGCACCTGAGGGCGCACGTGGAGCCGGAGCCGCGCCCGCCCGGGGAACGCCGGGGGGCGCGGTTTCCTCGGGCGCGCCCACGGGGCGGGGCCGGGCCGGGGACCAATGGGGCGCCGGTGCTGGGGGGGCAGGCTCCGGGCCTGGCATCCCGGCAGCCGCAGCTGTCTTTTCCGGCCCTCGCGCCCCCTCCGCCGGCCGCGGACCCTGCAGGCTCGCGGGGATCACCCCCGAGTGGCTGCGTCCCCTGGGTAGGTGAGTGAGCGCCCTGCGGCGCCCGAGCTGGCCGGGAAGAAGGAAATCTGGGCTCCTGGCACCTCACGGGGGGAGCAAGTGGGCAGGAGCCGGGTGGGGGGGTGGGGCAGGACCC